AATGTCAGTTGATTAGAGTGAATAATTCTGAATTGTTTTCTTAAGATGCTCATTTTCAAAACAGGCACTGCTTTGCAAAAATCTTAACATTATTAACCTGATAGTCTCACTGGCTCAGCTTTGAAACTGTTTTTCACGGGAAAGAAAGGGAAAAGAGGCAGAAAGTGGTGGCCAGCAGGGTTAAACTCATGATACTGTGCCAAACCACTCCACTTCTTTCTTTCCACATTCAATCCCAAATACTGCTTGTGTCACAACACCTGATGCCAGGATCCTAGGGTAGCTGCAGGGCTCCAGCTAGAGCCACCTGACAGCGTGATGCTGCATTTTTAAGACCTTTAAATAATGAAAGTAGACCTTTGCACTTCAGCATTGCCCCACTCAAGAGAGCTGTCTGTACAGATGATGTGCATGCCTGGTGACATGGAGATATTTCTTACTTCTGAAATGAAATGACACCAAAAGTTCCAGGGCTGATCGTTCCAGTAAGGACCTTCCTTACTAGCACTGGTGACCAAGTCTAGCATTGCTATGAACATGTTTTTGGTCCCCCTAACACAATTTAAACTGCTTTCCAAAAGTGAGGATAACTCATCTAACCCAAATTGCAGACTCTTCTTAGCTGTTGGGAGTTAACTGCTATAAAAAGGGAGAAGCCATCGCTTCTCTACTCTGCAGCTCTCCAATAGGTACTGTTATACATATACCATATGGTCAGGCATACAAGTAGCTGGACTCAGCCAGGACATAGCATTGCAGAATGTCTTCAGCCCTTGAGCGTACATTATTCACCAGCTCCTTCAGTGCTTGATGGACTCAAGCATTTAAGATTTCTCTTTCTCTCCTCTTGCATTCTCACTCTTATTGGTCCCCTTCCCCTGTCACTGAGGGATTTTGCCTCTTGAGATTTAGACTGAGGATTCAGAAATGTGTTTAAGAAAAAATAAGATAAAATGGAAACAAGACAGTCACAGTAGGACAAAGCTATAATATAAACTGAGCCTGAGACTTAACCACATCCATGCTTACACCTCACTTACTTGGAAAAAAAGAAAAAAAAAATTCAGTCACTGCATGCGTTTTAGGGATTCCCAGGTCTGTGGAACAAGGAGATCCTCCCAAGAAGAAATCACCATCCACTTGTCATATTCCCCAGGCACCTGCTAGGCTGCTGTCAACGGGTGACACAGACACTGGCTGAGAGTAGTTGCTCTGATATTAACTATAATCTGGATGTTAAAGATAGAAATACCAGAATTGGAAAACCGAACATAAACGCACCTATCAGCAACTCTGTTCTCAGTTGAAGTTGCATACTCTTTCCATTTGTCCCCTTCTTTTTCATGAATATTTTGAAGCCTCTACTCCTCCAACATTTTGTCTAGAGGCAGTTTTTTTAATACTGGTGACTATATTGTATATGAAACCTTTAAGTCATCATATTTCAGCTCAGCAACTAAGAGATACATTACTTCTGGCTTGCATAAGTAACTATGCACTTATCTGTAAAACATTATTTTAACTTCTGTCAATTTGTATCCATACAAAATAGATGTAAAATGGTATTTTGATTTTAAAAAAAGATAAAATTGGAGAAGTTCTTATGACTGTGGCAGGGAGATAGCAAAGAAATGTCACCCCACAAAGTCACACCTTCTATTACCCAGTAAAACTGGCCTTCAAAGGTGAAATAAGGTAGCTTGGGACTTCAGGATTCCCAAAGGCAGGAATTTGCCCCAAAGAAAAGGTCAAACCAAAGAGCAATGCTGCGTTTTGATGGGGAGCAAATATAAGGGGCATTTGGGTGATTTGTTGATTCCTGAGAGAGGGAGGCTTTGCAACCTATCACTAAGAGTATGGAACGACAGCCCAGCAGGGGAGGCAATACCGAAATCCATCCAACTGTTTCCCGAGAAAAAGCCTTGGGATTTTGCTGTCATCGGCAATGGGAATAAGCCCACAGTTTGCTGCTCCTCTTATCCTCTCAGCCCTGCCTCAGCAACAGAGAAACCTCATCTGTGCCCATCCCAAGCACAGCTCTAGCTTTTCTCTTTCTCTCCACTCCGCTGTGGATCTAGGCCTTTTTAATCAGCTTTCCACCCTCTTGTTAGCCTTTTATTGTGCCCCTCCCCCCCCCCA